TTTGATTTCTAAGCTCACTTTTTTCGTTATTTCGTGTTATATATTGTTGCACAATTTAATTTTAAATTAATATGTAGATGAAGAAACATCATGAAATCAAAGTTTATAGTAATTTTATATATTTTTTTTATAATTTTATATATATAAAAATTTACAATCAAAATAGTATGACAAATCGTGCGACTGATATTTGTTTTTTTTTGTTTTTTTCATCTTTTTTTTTTTTGTATATTTTTTCTTTGTTTAGATTTTATATATTCTCTCTTTTTGTTATACTATCTTTTTTTTTTCATATCCAGCTATTCTCTTTCTGTTATATGTTTCATGTTTTATTTTTTTTTGTTTAGTTGTGACTTAATAGCCCTACTATTGAAACTAGATAGAAAAGATCTTAAAAAAATAAAATAGTATTAACAAGTTATAAATCTCAAACCATTGAAATGTATTTTTTAAGCATACAACTCAAAGAAGCATGGAGGCTAAATCTACTTGGCAGGTCACAGATAGGTATCTCTAGTAACTAAATAAGTAGTATTTTAATTGTAAAATATATATACCAAAAAATAATCAGTATTTGCAGATATAATAATTTTCTTTTAATAAAAATATAACAAGACTACTATGTAAATATTAAAAAAATATATATACAGTATATCCAATACTTTTTGGTTTAATGAATTAGACTGAACTGAACAAGAGTGATCCAATATCCATGTCCAATATCCAGCCCAACACTAAGTATACTGTATATTTACAGTATTATTTTTATAAAACAATTTATATTTGAATACTAGATACTGTATATTAACACTTAGCTTTTTTTGCAATAATAAAATTTTTAAATAATTTTTTTAAATTTTTGCAAAACAATAATATTTTAGCTTTTTAATAATAAATTAGACTAAATATAAAAAAATTTGTAATTATATACTGTATACTGTATATAATCAATATACTGTAATACATAATATATTTAAAAATCTTTTTTTTTTCGCAAATACAGTATTAGTTTTTTAAAAAATTCTAATTATACATAACGATAATACAATTTTAAATTACAGTGTATTGCATAGATTTTCTTTAGCTAATCATAATTTGTTTTTTTTTGTAATAAATAGCTATTCTCTTAAACAAAATATACATATTTCAAAAATACTACGTATACATATATCAACCTTTTTTTTTTTTTTTTTTATTATTATTATTATTATTAAATATATAATTAATTTAAATAGATTGACTAAAGCTTCATATCTTCCAATTACCTTGCCTGGTTTATTGGTCACAGGATATAGTTCGAGCGTGGATTCATAAATTAAGGAGGTATTAATATTATTGGAGATTATGACTAGTCGGCCCGATGCCCATATTTTTACATTTGAAATGTAATGGTATTACAGAATTACAAGTCTTCAATGATCCCTTTTTTTGTCAATTATATATTTGTTGTTAATTTTAAAGGAGTTGTTCTCGTTAGGTTTCAAGAAACATGGAGAATTAGAACTACTTGTCTGAATGGTATCAAACAATAAAAAAAAGAAAAGAAAAAGTGAAAACAATTATTGTCTTACGACTTTTTTTTTTTTTTTTTTTTTTTCTTTAGTTCTATCACTGTCATGAGTGAAATGATGTAAAAACAAAGAAAAAAAAAAAAAAAAAAGAAGAAAAAAAAGTAAAATACACAAAACTAATCCATAGTTCTAATAAATGTTTGCCAATCCCATTATCCTTCCTACAATACATTCAAATCTACATCTAGTGCAATTTTTGGAAAAAAATCTATAACGAACTAAAAAATTAAGGGGTATTTGAATTGCTTCCGTCAGGAGGTCCGTTAAGAACTTCTTCCAAGCTACGATGCCTAGATAGTTCAGATAACACAGTTTCATCAACAGGTATGATGGATTTACGACGAAACTGATTGAATTCACCGGGTCCTTCAAATGGTTGCTGAAATGAAATACAATAATAATGAACAAACAACATAACAAAGAAAAAAAAAATCATTGTATAATTTAAGAAGCAAACCATTTCCCCGGGTACATCATCGATAACTTCTGGTACGTCAGTTTTTGGTTCTTCTACGGGCTCATCCTCACTTGAATTATTGTCTACTGTAAAGTTTTCAGAGTCCGATGTATGTAAGTAGTGGTGTTTGTAGATCTGCAATTCTGACTAAAATATCAATTTGAAAATATAAGGCGGTTGAAAATTACCTAACTCACTGGCTACATTAGTTCTTGAAGATGTTGAAGGACCACCGATTGAATAAGGTAATGGAAGACCTTGAGCATTATGTGCAGCTGTTCTTTCTAATCTATGCCACGTTTCCTCTCTTTCTCTCATTCGTTTCTTTTCCCTGTTAGATTAATTAAATTCATTTATTTAAATATTTTGGTTAATAAAGTGCTTTATCATAAACAAAACTATACTCACATTTGACGACTTTGTTTGTATTGTGCCGTACATTCATCGAATAGTGCTGGATTAATTTCCATGAATAGCTTTAGCGCATTATATACCAAACCATGGATCGTTCTTTAATATAACAAAGTAACATATGCATTATAAAAATAAATTTAATAATCGGATAACATTAAATTATTAATTAATTAAACATTTGTGATAGTAAAAAATATATATATATATTATTACCGATTCCAGTGAGCTTTAGAATTTTGGTATAAAGGTGGGAACATTACTGGTAAAATGACGTTTACGTTATCTCCTATCAGATTAACAATATACTCATTGTTCCAATAATATAAAGCTCTTTCTGCAACCTTTATATATCGTTAATATATCATTAACATATTTGTTAATTTAGATTATTACATCAAAAAAATTTAAAAATATTAAGAACTAATACCTGAAAATGTGGACTTGATACACATCTTGCAATTTGTTGAAATAATGGTACCTGAACTTTTACAAATTCCTGTGGTTCTATAACATCCAAGATTTCCTCAATCTCATTCAAAAACATCACTTCTTTGGGACTGTTTACTTTTGGCCAGTACCTTAATAAGCCACAAATGACCTAGTCATTTTTATATTCAATATATAAAAGTATTAAATAAATGTTTAATTTTGATATAAATATAAATTTGGGGCATGGAACATACTTCTTCTGTCAACGAAGGGTCTTTTTCTAGAAATTGTACAACACAATAAGCTAATTGTGGATGATACAATGTCAATGATTTGACTTTATGTAAAGGTATCAGCACTTTTGTAAGGAATGTTTTATGTTCTGCTTTTAATGGTAAAGCAAAACCATTGATAATACTATAAGATAACGACATGATGATTAGTTACATAAATGATTAAATATAATTTGAAAAAATATGATGCCTATGAAAGTATTACCTTCCAAGAATTTCTAACAATTCTGCAATACCATTATGACGTTCTGTTTCATATATAAATTGGAAGAACACGTTGTTAATCGATTTTCGGATAAATGCGCGTAAATTTAGAAATTTTCCATAAATTCGGTGCAATGTAGTCTTTAAAAAGTCACGTTCTCTTGGATCTTCACTGTCAAATAATTCCAATAACTAGACACAGAACAAGAAAAAACATAAGAAAATACAAGAAAGGAAGAAAAAAAATTAGGGACTTTCTTTTTTTTTTCGAGAAAACGAATGATCACACGTTCCAAAATTGAATAATCTTGCATACATGTAATATGAATTGTTGATCGATATATTTCTTGGCAATATTTGTATTGAAATCAGGCGACTCAATGAATCGAAGGAAAAATTCATAAACAATCTGAAGGTGTGGCCATGCAAGTTCGAGAACTGGTTCATCCTCCTCAGGATCAAAAGCATCACCAATTGGATTAACTTGTGGAGGTATAGTTCTAAAAAGATTAATAGCAAACTAGCCAATCATGAGCAGATTTATTATCCAAGTATTATTATCTACCAAGTTAAAACGAAAAAATATAGTTATCTAAATTACTTATAAATTATAACCAACCATAGAAACGACCTCTGAATATATTGGCTCAGTAATCACTCCACGATTTGTAGTAATATATTCCAAGAGCTCAGACAATGTTGCCCTTTTTATTTCTTTTCCTTTTAGGTCACTACTTGCATCATTGAAATCGAAAATTACCGAACATTGATTAAGTTTTCTTAGGAAAAGTTCTTGTCTTTTGTCCGGTGAAACCTCTGATATTATAATATAATTATTCAATGGCTATCATAACGAATGAGAGTTCTTAAAATGGGTAAATTGTTAAGACTAACCGTTGAAATTAGGTAATTTTTCCAATTCAACTACTCCTGAGGCATGAAATCTCGATGACCTTTGACGTCGTGGAACTTTACTTAGAGGAATAACATCTTTTGGAGCACCTTTTAAACGATTCAAAGGGTCCCTCTTGGGAGGCTCTTCTTTTGAATGAGACTTATGGTTATTTGCAGGAGAAATAGGCGAAGTGCTATCTGAGGAGGTATGCCCCCTCTGAGAAAAATAAAAAAAAAAACACCAGATTAAGCCAGAAAGATATATATATTAGTCACGAATTTTTTGATATCTGTCGTCAAGAATCTTTATAAAATAAAATATAGTTGGTCCAACCTGTTCACCCACATTTATAACCACTATGGCAGGAGTAGGTTCTGTTGAGTTTCCGGAATTCTTCGATGAAGGCTTATTTGTACCGCTACCAGGTTTACCATTACTAGTATTTGAGTCACCCGTTTTCCGTAGCTAATGAACGGATGGAGTACGAAAGGTAAACTGGTAAGGGTACGTGAGGGATAGTTGAACAAACAGGACGCAATTAAGAACGACTTACAACTTTTTTTTTTATATTGTTCATTGTCTGAATAATATTTCAGTAGATTTACAACTTCAATAGTTTTTTAATGTTTTTGTTTTATAGCATGTACGTACGGTATTACGACAGTATTACTGTAACATTTTTATTGATTTCGTAAAATTTTTGTTGCACGCACTAGTAAGTCACACAGCTCGAACTTATCACCTTTAAAACGTGAGTTTACAGAAGTCATGTGCGAATATGGGTTACAATATAAAATAAAGTGATACCATGGAATTTCAGAATTTATCGTTATACTGGAATCCGATCGATATGTGGTCATCTGGTGGAAACAAAGACGATACTTGTCAAATTTGGATATTGATGATAGGTCAGTTATCATTCCTTTTATACCGGTTCTTCGAGGGATAAGGGTAAAAAAAAGCCACTCAATTTGACATTCATTTATTATGAATTTTGAAATTTCTTGATTTTTCTGATCTACATCGCGTCATTTTATAGAAACAATATGTACCATTCACGATTCAGCTGATTGCTTCGCATTTACTCATAATCAAACGGGAATAAAATTCGTGTGTGACGACTTTTTCAATAGGAATGAAATTCTATGGAATTTGGTAACCACTAGATCAATTTTTAATTTTAGAATCTTGAAACTTGAAATGAATGGTTGTGTTACATAAAAGAGATTTTGGAGAATTGATTTTTATGTTATAAATTTTATAGTAAAACGTAAGAATGATTCTAAATTGATTTATATAAAACTTTTTTTTTTTTATTAAAAAAAAAAAAAACAAATATAGTATATACATTATATATTTTTGATCTGCTTAGAATTGTTTATTAAAGCATATAACAGGTATATACTTACATATTATGCTGACCACACTGAAAACCACTTGCTATAATCCATCCGTAGCAGTAATTGGTCTAAATGCCTCGGAGGTCCACCAAATCCTTCACCTGTTTTATTAATGCCAGAAAGTGTCCGAAACAAAAATGAAACTTGATCGCGAAATTCCTTAAAAAAAAAAAAAAAAAATTCAATATATGTATATCCTTGATAAGTTATATAGGTAATAAATGTATATTGGTAAAATAAAATACTTTATCTAATTGTGTTATTTGTGAAAATTTTTCATCGTCGATCATTCCACCGCTCCATCTTTCTAATAAACCACAAACTTGATCACATATATTTAAAGCATTTTTGATTGTTTCTGAACAAGCCCGAGATTCAAGAAGACATCCACGCAGTAAATCCCCGAGGTAAGTTGCATGTCCAATTCGAATATCTTCGAAGTCACGAAAGGTTTCTGATTCACTTATATGCGTTTTTTCATTGTTCATGGATGATACGTTGATTCGAGATGATATGTTGATTCGATTAACAAGTGTTCGAAAGTTCGACTCAATAATATTCATCTAATATAAGATTTAAAAAAATTTAATATATTAATTTTGAAGAAAGCATAATACACTTGTTTAAACCAGAAATTCTACCTGTATATGTCCCCATAAACAATCTACAAAGAACATCATCGAAGCCCGAACTTTCCACGGCATCAGCATACTATAGTTGTTATCTTTAGAGAGCTTAATGCCAAATTTTCTAATCATGGCGAGGTGTGACCAAACTTTTTGAAGCCGAAACTGAGTACGGCGAAGAGACAATAGAAAAGAAAAGATGTATCCGTATTTATCCAAATCTTCAGCAGTGACGAACAAATCTAGAGGCCAGCCAATATCATATTTAAGCCTAAGGGGGACACCAAGCATGGCAGTATCAAATATGTTGTTCGGTGTCGTCGTAGTTTTTTGTTCGCTTACATTCGGTAGTTTGAATCTGAATTTTTCGAAAGCAGGATCACTCTCTGCCAATGTACCCACGGATGTACGCACCAAAAGAGAATTCAATTCTTGTTCTCTAACCGTTAGAATTTTTGATGACATAGACCTGGACGCTGTTAATTTTTCAAACTGTTCAACAAGTGATAATGAAAAATCACTTTGCCCAAGTAAAAAATAGTTCCTAAATGCTTCTAAGCACTCAACAACTTTGTCACCCGTTAACACAACTTGCCATAACCACTGTGCTACATTATTTCGTATGATAGTGACAACATTTTCAAGTTCAATTTGACGAAAAATTTGTCTCGATGAAAGTTGTAAAAGATATTGAAGATGTAGAGAACTAAGTGAATGTGGTAAAGTAGTATTTTTTTCATGTGGTTTAGCAGCATTCCTTACCGTTGCAATAGCTTTACCAACAAATAGGATTGATTTCGCTACGTCGTGTGGTATATGATTCGGAATAAAAGATTCATCAATAATAAAATATCGATGCCATCTTGATTGATTTTTTGTATGAATTTTAGATGTTTCATCCTTTACAAAGAATTCACCAAAGGGATCTTGCAAATGCCCATAAACCATCCATGAAGTTATATGTTTATACATAACTTCGTGACAAGCTTGCAAAATTCTCAACATGATTGTTCGTAATTCAGGTATACCAGTATTACATCTATCAGTAATTAGATTAAGGATTCGACAGCCAAAATAATTCGATGGATTTTTTTCTATTTCATTTATCAATTGATGCAAGTGTGGCAAAATTATATAATAATCACCAAAGGCAGAAACAAATTGTGATACTGGAACCACACCACCCATATTATCTTCTTTATTTAAAATTCTAATTTCACATTCTATAATTGTCTTTTGAAAGTCAGCAAGAATTCCGTTCAAGGCGTTGCAAAACGCATGTATATATGATCCACGAAGTAATATTGTATCTTCCACGTTACAATCTTTCCTACCCCGCTGTCTATCCAAAAAAAGAATAATACGCCGATAATAAAAACCCAAAGCAGCAAGACGCTCCAAGGAAGTTTTTTCAGCTTCGTGCAAAAAAGGAAAGTCAGGTGGAATTTTAAAAGTCGTGGCCGTTTCTGGCTGTGGAGGAAATGGCACAAATAAGTCACCAGACAAGCCAGATAAAGCTAAAAGTAACTCATGAAGCATTGTAATCTTGGAAATAAAAAAAAATCGCGTTGGGTGACAAAATGGTTAAATTTCAACGCTAAATAGCGATAAACACATCACGTGAACATCACAAGACTAATCATAATCTGTATATTTCTATGCTTGCAAACAAACGGCTTCGGAAGTTCAAAAATATAATGTTATTAACGCGTTCAATCAAATTGATTTAAACAAGAGAGTAACTCGTAAAAATTTTACATACTGGCAGAAGGGAAGACAATCGAGTTATTCAATTGTACACGCGTTTTTGCGCAACTTTACAATTGAAGCATTATGAAATAATAAAATTCAAAGCCCAACTCAACAGGCTTATACGTCACTAGTTACACTTAATTCAATGTATTTTATTACGCTTTGCAAAATTATCATTAAATCCGTTAATGTATAAGAATTAAAAATATTTACATTGGGAAGGGAATAATCAATAGTTATTTGGAATAACCCTCTTCCCACCAATTAAAAAAACAAACAAAAAAAACTGTATAATTTATCAATAGAGCTAACCCATTAAGCATCAATTTCTGAGCTAGATGGATTGAGGTACCATACTTAATTAGAAGCGCTTGAGTCCCTCCAAAGAAATAAAGTTTCGCACTAACTAACGCACAGTTTTCCTTACTGAGGATTAGATGTTTGGCAAACAATAGAAAGAAGTACCAAACTTAATATGACAAAGATAAGACTGTTACAAACGCTATTTATACTAACTAAACGTTAGAAATTTAGACGATTCTCATGAAAAAATCTATTATACAAGGTTGGAACATTACTTCTTCGTTCTGTCGTTGTAATTTTCAACGACTTGTTACACGAAGGTTAAGTCAGTAATTAAAACAAACTCTAGCGCCTAGTACTAGGGATATTATCCTACTCCAACCAGTTAGTTTGTGCTTAAAAACCCGGTTGAACACTGTTTCGGAACATTTACATAAAACCCGATTCTCGAACTCAAATGTATTAATAATTATGTTTATGTGAGCAATTCAATAAACCTGCTATCGCTATTACTTTTCATTAAAGCAAATGTATAAAATTTATGAAATTTACATTTAAAATATAATATAAAATTTAGAGATACAAAGTCAGCTTCGTATTTGCAGAAAGTAAGTTTTTAACTACATTTTAGAGATACAAAATCAGCTTCGTATTTACAGAAAGTAAGTTTTTAACTAAATTTTAGAGATACAAAGTCAGCTTCGTATTTGCAGAAAGTAAGTTTTAACTACATTTACACCCTCCAACCCAAGATCATTGTCTTTAATATTTAAAGATGTTTGTATTACATATAATGTTATTGCATCTATCATTGTTATTTATTTATCCAATTTATTAACCTTCATTACAGTCAATATACCAGGTCTTTAGGCAGAGGCTTACGGAGGCATAAGTTAACCTCTATAACTGCTCTACAATCCCAAGTGTGTGCACTATTGGAGAATTTCAATAATGTTCGAAAGAGTTTCTGCTGGTGGTCTATTCATATCATTCATATCGAAAGTTATCGAAAATTTGTGTATTCATGTTTAAAGAATTTTAGTCAAAGTAAATCAAGCGCATACGTATGTGTGGTATATATCAGTTTTGTTGTCTACTGCAATCGTTTCTTCCATTCAAAACGTTACTCTTTTTAATTCTTCTCCGATTAGATTGGGTTTAAAGTTTTTTTTTGTGTTTGGAGGTTAGAGTTTTGTTTTGAAAGTTTTATAAGAGAATTATACGTATTTATAGACGTATCAGAATACAGATTTTAACAATGTAAACAAGTACACGTCACTCTCTTTGCCTTTCCGTGTAACCTGAGCTTCTGGAATTAACTAAATTTGCCCAAAATCAGTGATCTTGGCATACGTAGTGATCGGGATTATTATTACTATATACTTAACATACTAAGAAAATTGCTCGGATTGGAATTTTGCTACGTACGTACTGTACGTATCATACGTATAGATAACCAGAAAAAGCGCGGGTGGCTCGAAAAGGCAAGATTTTTTGACTTACTAAGACTAAGTAAAATCTTGAGATCCACATCATAACTATATATAATAAATACTATTTACTAATAAAACTCACGGTTTTAAAAAATTCCTCACTATGTGCCCGGGGTACTACGTTATTGAGAGTGACGTGTATTTTATTTGTAGTATGTAAGAGTGAACTTTTGTTAGAATTAATAATCTGTAAGCAGTTAATTTGTTATATTATTATAGAGAAAATTTAATACTCTAAGCGTTTAGGATAAGCTATTCAGGTTAAAGAACAATAACTATTTGGCTTCATTTTACTTGCGTTAATTTAGGTGATTAGTAATAATTATCCTATGATCTTGATGGTTTTACTACTAAACCCTGAAAGTCGGTATTAGGTTCTTTCGAGAAAATGGTTTTTGGATTGTTGTAGAATCGGTCTTGATATAGTGATGAAGAAAATTTATTAATTTAAGTTTTAAAATAAGGCGCCTCAGTTAATGGGTCAAAGTTAAAGATGCGGTAGAATCGTCCCAATGATAGTTGTCGCAAGTTACGGCAGTGTGACGACTATCATTGGGACGATTCTACCGCATCTCTAGTCAAAGTGCGTCGAAAATGTGTCGGGAATTAAATTTTAATTAACAGAAAGTATTTTAATCAATCAATAGTAAGGTAGTTTACGTGAAAGAAAAAATTTTAAATAGTAAAAAAAATGAACAGTGAGTTTACTATTTTAGTCAAAAATTTTTTGTCCGAACCTCCTTTTTTTTTGCGCTGACTTATCAAAAATTTATAAAAATTAAAAAAATTAAAGTGAATAAAGTATTGCTCAAGTGTTTTCATACGTTATATTATAATCGATACACATTTTTTGTAAAATTTTCGATGAACTATTTAAAATCCTCACAAGCAGTGATTTGAGATCTTTATTTGATCTATCGTTGAAATTGAGTGTAATGAGCATATCTCAATAATATCGTCTTTGTGTTATTGACTTCTATTCAAAATATTATCAGTAGCTAAATTACGTCATAACGATAATACTTGTGCACCATTTCGATCACTACAGCACTATGAAATCACATCTAGGTTAGGTTGAACACCCCGAGTTCATTTTCTTCTATTCGTATTGATTCGGTTAAGTATAAAAGAATCTGGTATGAATCTTTACATGTATACGTATACGTATTTGATTTTATTCTATATATCCGCATTAGGAAATGAATAATATTTAATATTATTTTATTCATGTTAATTCTGGTGTCATCAGCCACGACAATAATTATTTCAATTAAGCAATTATTCACATTTTTTCGTAGATCAAACAATTATTTATTTGCAAAACGTAACTTGTTTTACTTTACAGAAACTGATAATAATAAATCATATCATGTGTATTATAGGGGATCCGATCAACTCACGACAATCACTCCGTAGACACTACATTTCACTGACAATTACTTACCAACAAGTCGACAGTTTATTTCACCGAAACTCATTTTACAGATAAAGTAATTCTAGAATTAGGTAATTTATAATAAAAACTTATCGATGAAATGAGCTTCGGTGAAATAGACTGTCAGTAAAATGAACTTGTCGGTGAATAATTGTCGGTGAAATGTGGTGTCGCAATTTTTTTAAATCTGACTAGTTAAAATTTGTATAATATATTTTTAATAAGTATCTTATAATCTGGATTCTTTACAAATATCTTAATATTTATACTACTATTAAAATTTTTTTAATAATGTATTTATATAAACTGAATTATATAATTTGTTATAATACAGATATAAGAACATACTCTAAAACAAATTTTAAATATTCATCTAAAAATTTTTATTAGTAACCAATAATTGTTGATCTTTAGTATAGATGGCACAATATAGAATTATTATTATAAGATTATATATAATTTTTATATATAATTTTATAAATCACATGCGCTCACATGTAAAAACATACATATAGAAAAAGCAGTATATATGTTGTAAGTGGGAATGAAATCATAATAGGTTCGGAATCCACTTATATTAGAACAGCACTAATACCCAACGGCTCAGGATATTTTTATTACAAAAGTCCCAACTAAACCTTAAAAATTTCGAATCAATTATTTACAACATATGTAAGGTGTGATGAAGTAACATATAAACAGTGCATGATAAATAAGACAGGTAACGCTTGAAATGCCATACTTTATAGTTATTGTATGGGTATGTGTGAATAACCTAATTACACACGGGTTCATATTCCGTGCCTTCGGCACGGATTTAAATATAAACCCGTGTGTGTAATTGGGTTATTCATATACCCATATAATAACTATCTTATTGCTAGGGATGGTAAAGTCAGTCCAGGTCCAGTCTTGGTCCTAGGACTTGTAAGTCCTACAACATGGTCCTAAGGACCAGGTCCTCATATAATAAGTCCTAGAACTTAGATTCGACCAAGGTTAATTCAAAATTAAGTTCTTGAACTTAGTCCCGATACCTTCTAACCAATTAAAATTCTTTGTTTTACTGTGAATACTAATTAGTTGAAAAGCATCTTTATCATATAGAATATACTAATATTCTAAAAAAAAATCATTATAGCATAGTATTATAACCTGTATTAGTTATAGATATAGTATATCTATCAATAGCTTAAATTGTATTGAACATATTTACTAATATATTTTAAGTTCTAATATATTTTATATTAGGACCTATTGTGGACCTATGAACCTAGGTCCTAAAATTGGAACCTAGTCTTTAAAGACCAGGTCCCAAAACCAGGTCCTAGAGTCCCGGACTTAAGGACTTTACCATCTCTACTTATTGCACGGTGTCTGACGTAACAATCCCTGCCAATAAGTAAATGAAAAAAGTACGGGTTGTCACATAAGACCCATGCAATAAACTATGTGATTTCATTATTCCGCTCCTGGTATATTCTTAAATACAGTACATAGTCTAAGAACACGAATATAATGTAGTTCTAACGCCCTGCACAATAGACCTATAAAAA